TGCGTCCACACACGTACGCCTACATTCTCCACCAGCTCTCTAGGGGTTCAGCCGCCCGACCTGGTCAGCAAGATGGCAGTCACATCCCCTAACTACTTCCTCACTCGCTTATGAACACATACACTCAATCCTCCTTCCAGTCATTCATTCAGCAAATCTTGTCCGAGGACCTCCTCCGAGTCAGGTCCCTGGAGTGTGCAGGCCCAGGCCCTTTCCTAAAAAGAGTTCAGTGGGAAACAAAAAATCACAATCCACATGGCCAGCACAGGTCAACGTGCTGTCGGACCCCAGGGGAGCGAGGAAGGCGGGGAGAGAGAGCAGTGAGGAGAGAAAGGAAGAGGAGGGCTATTTTTTGGCAGAAGTTGGGGGCATGGAGGGGGATTTGCAATGAGTCTTAAGGGGCAGAGAGGAGAAAGGGTATTCCAAGCAGAGGGAATGGCAGGAGCAAAGGCCCAGTGCTATGAAGGGTGAGGTTATCCTGGGGATGCGGAGAAGCTCAGGGTGGCTGGCATGGACGAGCATGGAGGGGAAGGGGCAGAGGAGCTGGGGATGGATTTGCCTAGAGCGAGTGTCTTCCTGCCAAGGCAGGGTGATGGGGGGCTCTCATCATATCCCATCATAGGAGACAGGCAACTGGGGTTGGGGAGGCTTATTTGTCTGTTCTACCCACCCCTCCTGTGCTATTCCTGGACTCTACCGAGACCGCTCTTCTCTCACTTGCTCCTGTGGCACAGCATGGGTTCCCATCTCCAGGACCGGCCTCCATCCACCCACGCTGGGCATCACGGAAGGATGAGATTCACTGTCAGACACTCCTTCCCCTGCAGCTCAGTCCACAGCCAGTCCACGGATGATATAACTTCTAGGTGTCTCTGGAATGCCTCCCCTGGCCTGCATCCCTGTGTATACCTCCTCACTCCCCACACAGACACCTGAGGCCTCACTGGCCCTCCCACCTCCACCTGAGGGCCCTCAGAGCATTCTCCACAATTTGACCACAGTGCTCCTCACACAGCCTGAGCCTGGCTCAGGCCCCCACTTGCCCAGGATGAAGCCCAGGCTCTTCAGTACAGCTTCAGGCTCAGGCCTACTGAGCAGCACCCTTCCCCCTCCCTGCACCTGAGCCGGTGGACTGAATTCCTTTCAGTTCCTGAACACAAGACACTTGTGCACACGGTTCCCCCTACCCCGAACATTTCCCCGGTATGGGGAGATGGGGCTGATCCTCCCAGAGGCCAGCTCAGGCAAGCCTTCCCTGCCCCCAGGGTTTCCCCAGGCCTCCAAAATGATCACCCTGGGTGGTCCAGGTGTGTCTGTTCTTGTCTGTTCCAACACAAGCCTGGGGGCCCTTCAAGGGCGGGGAGAACCAGGTCTGATACACTTATGACCCCAGAGCAGGTAGCAGGACAGATTTGTTGATTGAATAAGTAATCAGGGCACCCCAGACAAGACTGTTTGGTGTGGAACAGATGAGAGGGCACAGGCCTGAGGGTGTGAGCGGGGTCAGTGCAGGCTGTGCCCTCAGCCGCTTGGCCTGAGTAACTCCCTTGCTCTTCCTGGAGGAAATCAATTAAGATTATAGCAGCCTTCAAAAGGTAAATGTACTACGGAAGTGCAAGAATTGGCTATCATGGTCTGTCTCTTTCAATGTCTCTGGCTGGGAAGTTCCTCCAGGCATCTGACCTATATCCGTCTCTAAAGAGAAGCTGGTTTTGACACTGCCTTTTGCAGACACAGTCTTCAGGGGACCCTGTGGGGATGGCCTGAGAACAGTCTTCTGTCCTACCAAGTCCTTAATTGGCAGTATTAGAGTAATGAGTCACAGACAACAACCAATTAATTATCCCCAGTTATAAAAAGCTCTGCTTCCCCTTCCTGGCTGTGGAGTGAGCCCGGCCTCCTGCTGCCAGGCTTCTCCACTCCTCAGAACTGGGGGCAAGAGAAGAGGTCATTTCACCTCTCTGGTCCTTGGTTTCCTGCTTCTTTATTTGTTAAGTGTGTGTCCTGGGGGGCTGGGGGGCAAAGGCTTGGAAGAGGTGGGAATGTGTCAGGCTGGGGGCAGGAAGGAGGGAGAGGAAGGGGCCCTTCCCAGGCTGTCTCCATGCACACTCTCCACTTCCCAGGATCCACTTCAGGGCCCAGGGTTGGATCCTAACCAGGGAAACACTGAGGCTTCCAAGCCTGGCATTCAAGGCTACTCCCCATCTTGTCCCAAATGCTCCTGGTGCAGTGCTCTTTCTCCTCCATCAGGCAACTTCCCAAGTCCCCCTGCCTTTCTTCTTCCAGCAAACTGTCACTTAAACCCACATCTTCAACACACGCCATCTTCCCTAGTCTCCAGCAGTTTAGGCTGCAAATCTATCGTCAGCCTGTGTGTTTGATTTCTCCATGTGTAAAATGGGCTCACAATTAAACATGGCCCATGGAGATGTTACAACAATGACCAGGACAATGCATGTAAACCGTTTGCTCCCTGCATACAGTAGGTACTCAATAAATGTTAACAGATACTATTACTTTCATACTTCATTTTCCAGCCTAAGAATGAGAAGAAAATGCCTTGTGACTCTCCCACCTTTCAGCCCATTTCGCAGATGAGACCCAGGGAGATCTGGTTTCACAAGAGTTGAACCCAGGCTTCTCTGAGTTGGGAGATACAGGAGGAGAATCCCCTCTGGGGCAGCAATGGTGAGAATAAGGAGAGACACCAGGCTCACTGGCAGAGCCCTCTCCACCACCCCTCAGCCCAGGCAGCTCTTCTCTCCCTGCCAGCCCCCATGGAGCTCACGCAAGGCCTCTATTTGTTCAGCAAAATTTCTGGAGCCCCTACCCTGCACCAGCCATGTCTTTGAGAAACCAGATTGCTATTCCTTCGTTGTGAGAGTCCAGCCCCATTGCTGCCCTCACCCAGTTGCCTCAGGGAGGAATAGGGACAGAAAAGAGAAACAGGGAGAGAGAGAAAGGATGAGGGGTAGAGGCTTGGAACCAGGAAATAGGAGGAGACAGGGGGTGGAGCAAAGTGAGCAACTGCAGGGAGAAAGGGGCGGGGGAGCAGAGGATGCTCATCTTCAGCTATGAGTTTGGGGTCATCTGAGGTGAGCTCAGCCCTTTCTGCAGAGGCGCTGCCACCCAGAGCTGCTGCAAAACCTATACCCTCTCCTTGCCTAGCTCATGGCCCCCTGCTGCCCCTCCAGCCTTGGCCCCAGACCCCTGCCCCAGATTGGTGACCCAGACCCTAGCCTTGCAGGGCACGTTCTGTTCTGGTTCTCAGTCAGCTCAAAACCAGCCTCGGCCCACCTCCTCCACTCTGGGCCCTGTGCTGGCCGCAGCCAAGACCATCACTTCCTGACTCCATGCCTATGACTGGCCAGCCTTGGTCCCACCAAGGGGATGAGACTCCTGGGAGATACGCCTTCCCCAGCGTCTGCCCCTATGGCCAAGGGGCTTCCTGCCTGGGAGCTCAGCCATCCTTCTTCTCCCCTTAGCCTCAGCTGTCTCCCCACCCCATTCACACCAGTGGCTGCTGGACCTCCATTGCCTAGGTCCAGATCCAGAACAGAGTGTGGAGCACGGCAGAGTGTCCACGGGATTCTGAAGCCATGATCACAACCTATCTCCCATTTCAGAGATAGAGAGGCTGAGGCTTGGGCATCTGGAATGACCTGTCTCAATGGCTAGTCATAGCTGGCACTGTGCTGGTCACATCACAGCCCTCATCACATGTCATGGCCCAGTGGCTTCTTGAGAGGGGTGTGTCTCCCCTCCAGTTCACAGGTGAGGGAGCTCACAGGCAACTAGATTCAAGTAGAGGATGCACCACCAAAACCTGAATCCATCTGACTCCAGAGCCCACGGCCTGTGCCCCTCCACGTAAGAGGGAAAGCTGTGACATATGGTATCTCAGAGGGCTTCCCAGCAGGGGCCTGGAGTGGAGAGACCGGGGCTCTAGTATTGACGTTGCCAGGGGCCTGCTTTCGGCAGGTCCTTCCCTCTCCTTTGCCTCAGTTTGGCCACTTGACTCCTCTGTGGCCGGGAGTGGGGAGATAGCAGTGAATCAGGCCTGGTGCCCACCCTGGCAGTTCCTGCTTTTTACTGTTTGGGGGTCATGAACCCAGGCTCCTCAGTCTAGGGCTCTATTCCTCATCAGTACAGGCAGAGGAGGGCAGACAGGTGGATAAGCTTCACCAACCTCCCCAGAGAGACAGCCAGGCCTACTGGGCCTCTGACATCAGTGGCAGCCAACACCCCCCCCCCCCCCCCCCCTCCCCCGCCGCCCACACCCTGCCACCCCCTGGCCACTCCAGCCTCTTCTGGGGCTGGCTGAATTTAGAGGCTGGCTTCTTTGTTCAGACAAGCAGGAAGGAGGAGGAAAGTTGTTCTCCAGACAGTAAAGCTTTTAGATAAACACGACACAGGAATTGGGTTCCTTCAGAGAAGAAACTAGATCCACCGGCTGACAGCGCCCCAGGGACAAGAGTGCAGCTTAGGTCTGGCCTGGGGAGCCCAGCACTGAAGGAGGCTTTCTTTATCCGGCTGTGCACCTGCTGCCAGCTCTGGCGAGCCTGTGGCTCAGGTGACTGAGCCCCGGTGCCAGACCGTGGCCCTGCCAGCTCTCAGGCTCCAGGATGGCCGGGCCCACCTCCTCACTCTCTCCTCCAGCACCCACCTGTTTGCCTGCCTGCCTGCCTGTCAGGGTCTGCCAGAAAGCTGAGGACTTCTGCCTACCTTGGGGTGACTCTTCCCTTCTGGAGCAGCCTAACCTCAACAATGTCAGAGGAGAGTTAACAACATGTCAATGGGACGAACTCCTTCTGGCCCTCCTGGTCAGCAGATTCAGGAATTACTATCAGCTCATTTTACAGAGGGAGAAACTGAAACCCAGAAAGGCCATTGGCCTGTCCAGAGCGAGTCAGCAGAGACAGAGGTAAGACCCCTCCCCCAGCCCCTCAGGCTTGCTGGGGCTCACTGGGTCCCTCTGACCCTGTTCCAGGGTGGCTCACCGGCGTGGTATCATCATGGGAGCGCTGGTAGCGCTTCCAACGGCAGCCGTAGATGCCCGTGAGGCAGGAGAGACACAGCTGTGGCTCGTAGTACTGCAGGGGCTGGTGTCTCACCATACTCGTGCCTGCAGCCCTGGCGCCTGGCCCTCAGGCGCCCATGGAGGCCCCCAGCTGGTCCTGCAGGAGGAAGCACAGGGTGGTGAGGCAGGGGAAGGGTGAAGAGTCAGGCACCACATAGCAAGTCATTGTAGCCTAGGTCAGGGAGGGTCACCTCTGCTCAAAGCACTGCAGGGGGGCTCCGTCTCACTTGGAGTCACAGGCCCACCCTTGCAGGTCCCCAAGGACCTGTCCTCTGCCTCCCACCCAGGCCCTCCTCCTCCCTACTCCTTCTCCTCCAGTCATTCCTGACCTCTTCCACGTTCTTCACTGGCCTGGCATGCTGCTGTCCCCTCTGTCTGGAATGCTCTTCCCTTAGAAACCTGCACGGCTTCCTCCTCTTTCCCCTCCTCTCTTCAGGTCTTCAAATGTCCTTTTCTTTTCTTTTTGAGATAGTCTTGCTCTGTCACCCAGGCTGGAGTGCAGTGGCGTGATCTCAGCTCACTGCAACCTCTGCCTCCCAGGTTCAAGCAATTCTCTTGCCTCAGCCTCCCAAGTAACTGGGATTACAGGTGCCCACCACATCTGGCTAATTTTCGTATTTTTGTAGAGATGGGGTTCTGCCATGTAGGCCAGGCTGGTCTCAAACTCCTGACCTCAGGTTATCTGCCTGCCTCGGCCTCCCAAAGTGCTGAGATGACAGGCATGAGCCATGGCACCAGGTCACATGTCCTTTTCTCAATGACACTGTCCCAGATCACCTTCTGTAAAACTGTAGCCCCTTCCCACGTTCCCTAAGCTCCTTCCCACATTCTCAGCTTTGTTTTCTCAATCATGTCCTTAAATATAACTTGTTTATTTTTCCTGTCTATCTACCCTACTATAATGCAGTTTTCATGAAGGCAAGGATTTTTGTCTGTTGTATTTTCTGCTGTATTCCCAGTAACTGGAACAGTGTCTAGCACATAGCAGACTTTCAAAATAAACATTTTAGAAGAAATTATCATACAAGCTGAGATGTGTTGAGCACTTAAAATACACCAGGCACCGTGTAACGACTTTACATTCATTGTTCCATCTCAGCACAACCATATGAAATGGCAGGTTCTGTGTCCTAAACCCATTTGACAGCTCAACAAACTGAGGCTCAGAGAACAAGGAGCAATGCCTGGCTGCTGTCTCATAACTGGACCGTAGTCAATCTAGGAACTGCTCTAGTGCCCCAAAGTATTCATTCTCCAGACACAGGGAGCCTCCTAGCCAGGTGGGCCTCCTAGCCCATGGGAAGATGGTATAGCAGCAAGAGGTGTCTTAAGGGTTGAAGTGTGGCTGCCAGGAGCTACTGCCTCAGCCCTGCTTGGCACCCTGGAAATATCTGTGGGAGCCACAGCCTCCGGGGACCAGTGTTGGTCAAGTGTGACCACGTGGCAATGAGCTTGGGGCACCTCACACACCCTGAGTATCAGGTGTCATCCAGTCCTCCACATCACTGTGAGTTATTCTTATTCCATTTTGCTGATGACAAACCCGGGACTCAGAACAGTTGGTGTCAGGACTCCAACCCTGGCCTGTGGGACTCCAGAAACTCAGTCATATGTTCTGTACCCGGCCCTATCCGAGGCCCTGGAGACAATGTTAGCAGGACACACAAAGACTCCTAGGGCCCTGAGAGGGCCAGAGAGGGGAACAGCTAGGCATTGTTCCAAATGCTTTCCATGCAGAAACTGTAACAGCAGCCCTAGGAAGGAAGGAAGTATTCGCATTTAAAAAATGGAGATATAATTCACATACCATAAAATTTACCCTTTTAAAGTATACAATTCAGTATTTAATATACAGTATTCAATTTTTGGTATATTCACAAGTTGTATAACCATCACCACTATCTAATCCCAAAACAGTTTCACCATCCTAACAACCCCCACCCCGCCCCCGCACCCTTCTCATGCACTGTCACTCCCTATTTACCCCGGCCTCACTCCTCTGGCCCTGGCAACTGCTCATCCACTTTCTGTCTCTATGGACTTGCCTATTCTAGAGACTTCATATAAATGGAATTATACAATATGTGGCCTTTTGTGTCTTGCTTCTTTCACGCAGCATAATGTTTTCAAGGCTCATCCATGTTGTAGCACGGATCAGCATGTCATTCCTTTTTATGTCTAACATTCCATTGTACGGATCTACCACATTTTGTTTACCCATTGATCAGCTGAAGGACATATGGGTTGTTATCACTTTTGGGTTGTTATACATAATGCTTCTGTGAATGAGTTTTTTGTGTGAACGTTTGTTTTCATTTCTTTTGGGTACACATTTCTTTTGGGATAGAATTGCTGGTCACAGCACTTTGGGAGGCTGAGGCGGGCGGATCACCTTAGGTCAGGAGTTCGAGACCAGCCTGGCCAACATGGTGAAACCCCATCTCTACTAAAAATGCAAAAATTAGCTGGGCGTGGTGGTGGGCGCCTGTAATCCCAGCTACTCGGGAGACTGAGGCAGGAAAATCACTTAAGGAGCGATTTTAAGGAGGCAGAGGTTGTCAAGATCGCACCACTGTACTCCAGCCAGGGTGACGGGGCGAATCTCCATCTCAAAAAAAAAAAAAAAAAGAATTGCTGTGCTATATGTTAACTTTTGTTTTTGAGATAAGGTCTTGCTCTGTTGCCCAGGCTGGTGTGCAGTAGTGCGATCATAGCTCATGGAAACCTCAGACTTCAGGGCTCAAGTGATCCACCTGAGTTGCTGGGACTACAGGGGTGTGCCACCACATCTGGATCATACGGTAACTTTTATGTTTAACCTTTTGAGGAAATGCCAAACTGTTTTCCAATGTGACTGCACCATGTTACATCCCCAAAGTATCATCATCATCATCTCCATTTTATAGATGAGAACTCTGAAGCACAGAAAGGTTGAGCCACTCACCAAAGGTCACTCAGCAGAGCCAGGATTCATACCCAGGCAGGCTGGCTCCAGGGACCTTGCTCTAACCCATGGGCCTGCCAAATCTGATCCGCCGCCTATTTTTGTACAGCCCAAAAGCTAAGAATAGTCTTTATGTTTTTAAATGGTTGTGAGAGTCAAAACAAAAATATCTTGTGACACATGAAAATTACATGAAAGTCAAATTTCAGTGTCCATAAATAAAGTTTCATTGGACGCAGCCATGCTCATTCATTTATGTATTGTCTATGGCTGTTTTAACTGTAACTGCAGTGTTGAGTAGTTGCCACAGAGACCATATGGCTTGCAAAGCCTAAAATACTGACTGTCTGGCCCTTCAGAGGGAAAGTTTGCAGACTCCTGAAGTCACTGGACTCTAATGGCCCACGAGCCGTATGGTAAGTGCAGTGTATGATGAAGGGAGGGAAGGGAGCCTGTGGGCACTGACCATGGTGCAGGGAGGGTCAGAGTATGCTCCCTGGAGTCAGCACTGAGCTGAGGCCTGGAACATGAGCTCCTAAGATGCCACTCTCCAAAGCCCCAGGGGCTGCACTGTAGGAGCACACTGGGCTTCAGTCCCACTCACTACTTCCACCACCAGGCCTCACTCAGGGCCTCTGCCTATCCCTCCAACACCAACACCCAATGCTGACCTCACCCCAGTGATGACATTACAGCCTGCAGTCTGAGGGGGAAGATGCATTAGGGGCTTGCTGGGAATACTGAATGACCTGGAGTCTCCTGAGTGCTGGGAATGGACTGCTGCAGCCTCTGTCTGGGGGAGCCCTGGGGAGGCATGTGGACTATGGTGCAGCTGCTGGGGCTTCCCTGAGCCAGGGCCTGGGGCAGGCTGGGGTGGGGATACAGCTTGGCTCCCATGGGGCTGGGGAGACCGTGGGTGGGGGCTGGTGTGGGGTGCTCTCAGCTTTACTATACTCCAGAAGATTTGGGGAGTGTTGCGTGCCCACATAGGCACCCCCACATTCCCAGCCTTCCCGCGGGGGTGGGAGGCCAGGGTCCACAGCCAGGGGAGCCAGATCTCACCCTGTGCACTCCCCAGACGGGAGTCTCTACCGTCATGTCAGCCACTACCTCTGCCCCCGCCTCCCCAGGAAGGGAGGAGGCAGGTGCAATGTGGAAAGAAGCCTAGCTTTATGCTGCCTCGCACTGACTTGCTCTGTGGCTGAGGCCACTCAGGCTCTTCCCTGAGCCTTGGTTTCTGAATCTGTAAAAGCGAGTAACAGCTTCTGCCTTGACTTCTATAGGACACACAATTGGGGGCAGTGTGAGGGAAAGGTGCCAGCAGGTACTGCAACGCTGAGGTACAACAGGTGGACATCCTGCAATGCATGTGGGATCCCACCCCAGGTTCCCCTGCCTTCACACTCCTTTCCCAGGACTCCCCTGCCCCGGGACTAATTCCCACATGTCCTCTGCCTGCCCCTCCCCTGTCCCCACGCCTGCACATTACAACCCATGCAGGAATGGAAATTCCACTTCAAACCTGGAAAAGAGGGAAGTAGAAGTGTGTGCGTCATGCCTCGGCCCAGAACTTCACTGATTCTGGCTCTCAGAGTCTCCTCTCCCCAAGGTGCATTTTCATCCTGTTCATAACTGTAGGGGATTCTCTGGGAGGCGAATCTCCATCTCAAAAAAAAAAAAAAAAAAGAATTGCTGTGCTATATGTTAACTTTTGTTTTTGAGATACGGTCTTGCTCTGTTGCCCAGGCTGGTGTGCAGTAGTGCGATCATAGCTCATGGAAACCTCAGACTTCAGGGCTCAAGTGATCCACCTGAGTTGCTGGGACTACAGGGGTGTGCCACCACATCTGGATCATACGGTAACTTTTATGTTTAACCTTTTGAGGAAATGCCAAACTGTTTTCCAATGTGACTGCACCATGTTACATCCCCAAAGTATCATCATCATCATCTCCATTTTATAGATGAGAACTCTGAAGCACAGAAAGGTTGAGCCACTCACCAAAGGTCACTCAGCAGAGCCAGGATTCATACCCAGGCAGGCTGGCTCCAGGGACCTTGCTCTAACCCATGGGCCTGCCAAATCTGATCCGCCGCCTATTTTTGTACAGCCCAAAAGCTAAGAATAGTCTTTATGTTTTTAAATGGTTGTG